CTTTGTCTAAAATCAATGAAAATATATCCTTGGGTGAGGATTAAAAAAACACGCAAAACTATTTTACTTATTTTGTTCTTTTCTGTGTTCCTGAATTGCTAGGGAGAAGGAAATGTGTGTTGTATATATTATACACATTTATCATAACAGTAGTAGCAGCTGATAATAGTAGAGGTAATTTAAATGTTATTTTACTGTAGTAAAAGAACCAGCGTAACTCAGATTCAGTGGTTGTCGTAAGATTTGTGGCTTTAATTTACAGTGTTTATTTTAAGTTTGTTTCTGTTCTCTTTCATGTCTTTATTCAAAATAGGGACCTCACTCCTCTTGCTCAGATTCTATCACTTAATAGTCAATAGACAGATGGTTAAATCCTGTTATTAATTTGACTTTAATTTTAAAACTACCTGGATGAGTATTTTCTAGATAAGTAAGATTAAGCAAAAGTAGAACTCTCTCCACAGAACTTATTTTTATTTGTATGTGTGGGTATTTATAGCTGGTTAAGTAAAAAACTTAAAAAAAAAATCTTTATTGATTTCAGAGAGAGGAAGGGAGAGGGAGAGAGAGAAACATCAAGAGAATCATTGATTGGCCGCCTCCTGCATGCCGCAAACTGGGGATCGAGCCCGCAACCAGGGTGACCGGGAATTGAACCTCTATCTCCTGGATCCTAGGTCGATGCTCAACCACCGAGCCATGCCTGGCCGGGTGTGAACCAGATGATTTTTAAGTTTCTTTCCTGCTCTAAAATGTGGAGAAGAAAAGTAGGAGCGAAAAGTACTGTATAACAAAACAACTATAGTTAGTCTTTTCCTTTATAAAATCATTTTAAATAAGGCATGAAAATAGCTCTTTTCTTAAATGGCTCTCTAAACTTAAAATGATTGGAGTCTTGAATGTTCTTTTTGTACTGCCATTCCATTTACAAAGTACTTTTTAACTCTGCCTGGAATTCAAGTCCATGTATTAGTAAATTACTTCTTTTTTTTTTTTTTTAATATATCTTTATTGATCTCAGAGAGAGGAAAGGAGAGGGAGAGAGAGAGATAGAAACATCAGTGATGAATCATTGATCAGCTAGCCTGCAACCCAGGCATGTGCCCTGATCGGGAATCAAACCCTGATTGCCTGGATCCTAGGTGGATGCTCAACC